TGAAATCTTTGCTCATAGATGATCCATGTCGAAATGGTTACACGAGGCTTGAGAAACAAGCAAGACATGGTGGTCAAATCAGGCCTTAATGAGCAATCGTTAATGTCAGTGCAACCCTGTGGATAAGCAGCTCCTGTGTTCAGACCAGCCCTGCCCTCAATGGCACACAGTCACCGTACTACAGGGAGGCTGCAGCCTCAGAGACACCCCAAGCATCTGGGACTCTGAAGGCCACCACAGGAGGAAATTACTGGAGAGAAGATGGGCAAGACTGAACCAGGCCGATGGGGAAACACTGACTCGCCGGGCTGCCTTCAAGCCCCTCACTCTATGGATCCAAGGGGTCATAGCAGGAACCAGGAGGATAGGCACATTTCCCTCTCTGGGCCACTCCTCACTTCCCTCCACGTGGCCAAGTCAACTACAGCCTCCCCCGCCCCCAAATAATAAAACTACAGCCCCATCGGGAGCTCCTGCCCACAGTCTTGACACTGGAGCTTTAAGAAACATGAGCAAAGACCATCTGAAAGCCATTTTTACCCCCACCCTTGTCTCATCCTCACTCCTAAGTGAGCCACGGGCCTCTGCTGCTGGCTAACAACGGCTGTGCCCACAAGGGTGCTGTAGGGCTCCCACAGGTCTTTCCGTCCTGGTTTCAAGGGTAACAAAGGCAAGACAGGAATGCACATACAGCCAACTTTCTGTGATGGGGGCAAATCCAGATCTGTCACCATTTCATAACCCTGGACTTTCAACATGAGTTTGCAGCAGGAAGGGCTGAGCTGCAGGCAGACCTGGGCCTCCTTTGTTTCCAAAAGGAGGAGGAGAAGGCAAGAGGATGAACAAACAAGTAGCAGTAAATGGCAAGAACAGACAGACAGACAGACAGGATAGCACAGGAGGCAAGAAGAACAAGAGGAAAGGAGTGCTTAGTGTGAGGGTGTCTCCAGGAAACACCCACCCTCCAACCTCCCTTTTGCTTCAAGTTGCTCACAACAGACCCACACTTGCCCATCCGCCCCAGAGACCATGCTGTCTGCATTCATCCTGTGCCAGCCAGTGAGTGTGTGTGCACACAGACAAAAATGCACATATATATAGTATAGATACACGCACACAGACACAGATACATATCCACACAGATATACACATGTACAGATGCATACATACATAAATATATTATACACACATGGTATTTCTCCCACAGTCCTATGTTGGCCTAATTGTGGTATTTGCTACACAGAGCTACTTAGCAATTTCCCTAAGGTTCCAGTCTCCCTCTTCTAGAGGCCTTTTTGTTTGTCCATGTTCCATTATAAACGCAAACCCAAAATGAAATATGTCCAAAGGACCCTGGTGGGCCAAGCAACCAGCAGAATCCCAGTTTCTCTACGAGAAGATGAAATGGACAAGCCAAGTCAAACTTGATCCTAAGCCATGTCTATGCCCAGCCACTTGCTCCTGCTAAACTCAGCTGCAGTGCAGACAAGAACAGAACCAGGATCTCAGAAATCTCTGCCTTCCTCGGCCATCTGACTTTCTCAGGTCTCGCTCTAGCACCTCTTCTGCTGGCAGGCTGGAAGGGCTCTGATCCCCACCAGCCCTGGCTATAAGGACAGGGGGAGAGCCCCTGCATGCTCCCATACCCTCAAGATCTGCTCTGCAGCCCAGTCAGCCAGGGTTTATCAGAATACCCAGCTGTTCCAAAAGTCTAACTGAAAAGATACTTTGCACCTTTAATCTGAAGTGTTCATGTGTCTGGTTCCAGAAGCCACAGGCAAAGGGACTCTTTCACAGGAACACACAAGTCGAGCACACAGCAAGATCAAAGGCCCAGCAACCGTTTGTGAGCCAGCTAAAAGGAGCAAGGGCCTGCACCAAACCTTTCCTTCCACAGATACTCAGCCACCTACAAGCCTTTCTCTCATAGGCATAGGTCTGCATAGACCCCGCAGGCTTTCTGGTATTACAAATGACTCAAGCCACAGCACAGAAAGCGAGGGTCCTTGTGTGGGCAGTTAGTCTGGCCTCAGCCATCCCTCCAGCAGTGGACTGGACACTATACCACTAGCAACAGGGCCATGGTTATGAACCCAGGCTCAGGCCGCTACACTGACCAGCCAAGTCCAGGGCTTCTCATGATCACATAAGGAGTTCCAGGGCCATTGGCCTGCCCTTCCTCAAGCTAGAAATCATCCAGTGGAGGTGCCACTGCGGGCAGAGTCCACAACCCCAGGCAGAGTGAGCTGGCAGGGTTGGATACCCCACTGGAGATGGCTCAGGGGTCCATAGCTCTATCCTCATGGCTCTGCCCCCGATCATTAGTTACACATGCTTCCTAGGGACTCTCTCTACTTTTCCTGGATACTGTGCCACCTAAGGCTCGAAGCTGAGCAGGAGGCCAAAGGCAGACAGGCTGAACCAGGACAGCCTCCTCAGGCTGTAGCATGCCTTCCTGGATCTTGGATGCCTGCCTGGAGCAAATGAAGCAATCTATACATCTGGGCATGGACCCACCGAGTAATATATTTTTAAACAGTTTCTACCCAACTGAGGCCGGAAAATGTCTCCAGCAATGCCAGTGGTGTTATTCCAGATTGTGGCTAGTAAAATATAATAACATGTGTTAGTTGTTTTTACTACCTCTCTAGCTTATTAGCTAATAAAATAGGCTCAGTATTATAAAGCTAGCTGAGACTATGCACTGCACTCAGAACTCAGGGTTCTGAGTTTCCTTCAGAAGCCATTCAGAGCGATCACCTTTCCAGACTTTTTATTTAAATTCATCTGAAAGAAAAAGCTGTCTCTTGGTGCCCAAGGCATGTGTTTAATCACTGTCAAGGCACTCAAGTCAGAAATGTCCGTGACACAGGGAGAAAGGGACACACCCAGGGTGGAGAGAGACGATAAGAAGCAGGCAGGTTCTGGGCCCCACACTTCTTCTCTAGGTTCCTCCTCCAGTGGAACCCTGGCCACGGGGAGGTACAACACATCACCAGCAGCTCCAGCTGCCCGCACCAGAACCCAAGTCTGGACTCTAGGGCCAGGCATCTCCTAACCTGGAGACACCTGTGCCTCCTCATTTACAGGGGACCCCCTAGGCTGAAAGGGGAACTACAGAGACAGGAGAAAGCTCCATGGACAGAAATAGTTTCCATTCCCATGCAGGAAGAGGCCTAGCTAAGACAACAGCCTGCGGCCTGTGCCCATCTGCAGCAGAGCAGACAGCATGAGCCTGCCTGCCCAGGACGTGCCCATGGTCTGAAGAACACAGCCAATCCTTCTAAGAGCACCCCTGACCAGCAAGCAGGTATCCATCTCCCCAAACCAAGCAACAACAATATGTCTGTCCCCAAAGACTAGAAAAATCATGGGTGTACTACAGCACGAAGTAACTGAGACTCCCAGATGGGCACAAGGCCCACCCACCCGCTCTGATGTCACCAGAGCAGCCCTACACCCTGGGCCTCACCACCACATTCGAATCCTTGGGCCTCCCTGGCAAGAATCAAATGTAGCCAGTCCTGAGACTCAGAGACTGTCCTGATGATGGTGTTCATCTCTTGTAGACCAATACCTAACATCAGTGTTGGCCTTAGGCAGGGCTCCAAGACAGAGGATGAAGTCCACAGGACACTGGCATGTGCCAGAGGCCCTTCTTGTGGTGAACGCTGGCAGTCACAGAGGGTACTGATCACAGCTGTTTGGTGGTTTAACATTTTTAACAGTATAATCAATGAATACGCTTCTCTCTCCAACATGCTCTCTTAATATTAGTTAGTATCTGTGGCCCTGACCTATGGATGAGCACAACCCAAGTGACTGTGACTGTCAGTGTCTCAAAATGGGCGCATAGTGGGTCCTGAAGAAAGGCCTCCGGTGAAGAGCCCATCAGTGTTTGGTCACTGCCCATCCATGCCTGCCTCTCCCATCTGTCTGTCCAGTACCACCAACATTATGCTTCACAGGGAAAAAAACATGTTTTCAATAGAGAAACACTTTTTTTTTTTGGGTCAGTCGTGGGGCTTGAACTCTGGGCTTGGGCGCTGTCCCTGCACTCTTCAGCTCAAGGCAAGTGCACTCTACCGCTTGAGCCAGCACCACTTCCGGCTTTCTAGTGATTTATTGGAGTTAAGAGTCTCACGGGCTTTCCTGCCCGGGATGGCTTTGAACCGCCATCCTCAGCTCAGCCTCCTGAGTAGCTAGGATTATAGGTGTGAGCCACCGGTGCCCAGCTAGATTTTTTTTTAAGGTTGGACATGGGGCTTGAACTCTGGGCCTGGGTACTGTCCCTGAGCTCTTCAGCTCAAGGCTACCATTCCTTCCACTTGAGCCACAGCACCACTTCCGGTTTTTCTGGTGGTTTATTGAAGAGTCTCATGGACCCCCCTGCCCAGGCTGGCTTTGAACCCAGATCCTCAGATCTCAGCCTCCTGAGTAGCTAGGATTACAGGTGTGAGCCACGGGTGCCCAGTGAAACAGATATTTTTGATACAGCAATTTTAGGCTGGGGTGCCAGTGGTTCATGCTTGTAATCCTAGCTACTCAGGAGATTGAAATCTAAGGATTAAGGTTCAAATCCAGCCGGGGCAGGAACATCTGCAACTCTGATCACCAATTAATCACAGAAAAAGGCAATAGAGCTGTGGCTAAAGTGGTAGGAGCACTACCCTTGAGCAAAAAGAGGCTCAGGAACAGCGCCCAGACCCAGAATTCAAGCCCCAGGACCAGCAAAAAAAAAAACAGAAAAACAGAAAACCCTTGAAATCATTTTTCTTTACACAGGATTCTAGAATCTTTGTTAGTACTATGGTTTGAATTTAGAACCTCAAACATGCTAGACACAAGCACTTGACCATGTGGTCAGCCTTGATTAGGATTCTTAAAACAAGGAAATGAAGCCACTCCTGGGAGCTTCTGGAATGAACACCATATACTTAGCTGAATGGACCAGGAACAACAGAGACCCCAGCACACCCTCCAGGCCACTGGATGCTTACCTGTGCCATCTTGGCAAGGTCTAGGGAAGGCCTCTGCTCCTGGACTTCGTCGGGGCGCCGCCGTTTCACGCCGACCTTCTTATCATTAAGGACACATGGCTGGGAACGGCTACGGGCGAGCCCACTGGAGCGTCTCGCCAGCTCTGGCGTTGAGGCAGGTGTGCTGTTGGCTGAGGGTGGACAGTATTCTGCGAAGGAAAACTGCTCGTGCGTGCAGGAGAGGGACCGCTGCAGGTCTAGCCGGCCCCCTCCCACAGGGTGCGGTTCCGGGATCCAGTTGTCACCCCCCTGGCCACAGGGGGCTGAGCCCAGTGGCCCTTGGCAGGACGGTCCCCCAAAGCGGTGCAGCCCAGCCTGGTGGCACGGCGAGGAGAGCCCGTTGGCCCGGGCAGGGAGGCTGAAGCTGGAGCTCCTCTGCATGGTGCTGGCACCACTGGAGTAGCGCTGGACGCTGCCCCCGCTGTAGCACCGTCTCTTCTCCACAGGAGTCCAGACTTTGGACCCCAAGGGCCGCCAAGACGTCCGGCAGCTGGACATCTCATCGGAGAAGGACAGTGACCGGCACTGGCGCTTGCTGGGGGGTGCCGAGGGATTCCCATTGTGGTCGCTGATGCTGAGGTCTTTGATCAGGCTGGTCACTGCACAAGCAGTCACTGCCTCCCGGTGCCACAGGGAGCTGTCCTGACACTTTTCAGGCAGGCATTCCCAGATGCTGGTGCTCGGCTGGTCAATCTGAAGAGGACATTTCCTGTCCAGCTCTCGCCATCTGTCATTTTCTGGTGGATAAATAACAAATAGGAAATCAGACTTTAGAGGCCCTCTCAGCAGTCCTCTACTTCTACACCAACAGCCTATGAGCCACAAGGAATCTTTGGAGTTCAAAAGGCTAAAAACTACCCAGTTCAATCCCATTTCACAGAAGGGAAACTGAGGCTCGGAGAATGGAAGTGAGTGACTTCCAACAAGCTGAGCTTGAAGCAGAGTGAGGCTGGGGATTCGCATACATCCCTGTCATTTCTGATTTGGTTTTCTTCCCAACAGAAAGCAATGCCTCCTGGAAAAACACAGAGCAACATTTTCCACCCAAAATCTCTCTCACATTTTCCCTGCAAGTGGCAGACAGCCACACATTTGCTATGTCCTTGGCTCAGTTCCCTGATGCTTTGTGGACAGGACTCAGTACCGGCAGACCATACACAGGTGAGCTTCTGACATATCAGATGACCATGGTCAAAATGGGGCAGGTACTACATCTCAACACCACCTTTAAAACATTTGCTGATAATACAAATTGCATATTCATGGACATATGTTCCCTCCACCAAATGTTCGACAATATGAGCAACAGTTGCTAATTACAGTACTTTGTGTTCACCTGTTTTGCTTTGTTTTCCTGGTATAGTACTAGGATTTGAACACTTATAGTCTTTTTAGTTTCTTGGGGGTTTTTTTGTGTGTGTGTGTGTGTGTGTGTGTGTGTGTGTGTGTGTGTCAAAGTCTTTTTCTTTGTCCAGTACCCATCTCCAACTGCATTTCTCCTATCTATGTCTCCCAGTAGCTGGGGTCATAGATGCATACCACTATACTTAGCTTGTTGGTTGCAATGAGGTCTAGCTTTTTGCTTCAGGAGGGCCTCAAAAGTAATCCTCCAAATCTCTACCGCCTGAGTAGTGAGGATTATAGGCATGTGCCACCATGCCTAGTTTCATTTGACTTCTTGCTAAAACTGAGGATATTTAAAATAATTAAAATCCATAAGAACAAGTCTTGGGCTGCAGACTTAAAGGTACAATTTAAACTTACACATTCAGGTCTGAACTTGAATGCACGAATAAATAAGCGACCCCCACTATGAAATGCTGAATTTGCCCTTGAACTTTTAGCTTACTAAAATATTCAAGAACTATTTGTTGATTCTCTGCTATGGAATCAGATACCATTCTGGGAATTTTAGGAGATGCAGAGATAACCTTGGCAGAGCTCTTATATTTAAGTTACAGTGCAAAAGTAAATAATCACAGAACGCTCTCAAGAATCAACACGTTAGCATGGTGTATTTTCTGACTTGTACATATTCCTAAGTTGTGTGCATAGAAGTGGCTTGGGTTGGGAAGTTAGGAGGAGGACAGCAGTAAACCTGAAATTATATTTAGCAAGTCTTTAAACACCTCTGCTGCTCACTCACTGAGCATTCTCTGGGTCCCGCAATCCATACAGTACCCTACGTGCAGGACCATCATGGCCCAGAGGGGAGACTGAGACTTGGAGGGAGTTGAGTAACTGGTCCAGGGCTGTACAGCTAACATAACCACAATGAAACCAGCCTGGTCTGGGCCCAAGGCCATTCTCTCTTTAATATACTATAGTGCTAAAGGGAACCACAGGGGAGTCTGGCACGGGCTTTAGAATCAGGAAACAAGTGCTACAGGTCAGAAAGCTGTGCCACATACTCCAGTCAGGAAGGAAGAGGTAGCTGGCTCCGTGGTAGGGGCCACTTCTCAAAGGCCACCAAGAGACCTGCTCTGGACTACATCATAACCACCAGCTGCTGAGTGAGTTTAGGCGGTTAAAAATGCAGACTGTGGGATGGGGCAGGGGGCGGGGAGCCAGATCAGTGATGAAAATGAAGCTCCTATCTCTTGAGTACCCTGCTGAGGACAAGCGACAAGCTGAGGAACTGGAACCCTAACCAGGGGGCACAGGGGACATAGCCTAACAGGCTTCAAATGCAGGAAGTATTATCTGTAAGCCCACGAAGGCCAGTTAAGAACAAAATACCCAATTTTCCTCATCCCAGAATCTTCCTGGCCCTGACCTGTCCCTTCTAGACACGTGTTCCTGTATTTGATAAGTTATTTGCAAAGATAAACTTTACAAAAAAGGAGAGCTGGGAATGTGGCTTAGTGGTAGAATGCTTGCCTAACATGCATGAAACCCTGGGTTCCATTCCTTAGTACCACATGCATAGAAAAAGCCAGAAGTGGTGCTGTGACTCAAGTGGTAGCGCATTAGCCTTGAGCAAAAGAAGCTCTAGTCCCAGGACTGGCACAAAAAAAAAAAAAAAGGCAAAAAAAGGATCTTTTTGTAAGTTGTGTTCATTGGGAAGCAACCCCTGTGAGTAGTCACAATCTTCTAAACTACTTGACATTATGAGCAAGTCAGAGCACAGCTAAAGACAACAATAAAGCAGTGCTAGAAGAGATACAAACTGACATGGAACAAGTCATGACTGTCTGGTAGAGAAGAAGGAAACCTACCTAAGAAAAGAGTGGCCATTTATGTATGATGGTATTTGTCAAGATGGTAAAAGTAACAGCCGAACTATCTCTATCCCTGAGTAGGAGACCGGTTGAGTAAATTGTCAAGAAATAACAGGACATGTGAAGCAGCAAATTCAATACCATTCAATACTGTGGAGTGCTACTATGGAAAGAAGTGCAGTGATTCCTCGTTAGTAGCACATGTACTGTTACATGTGAAGAAACCACGTCACTGTGGACTGGCAGGTAGCTGGCTCATTGTATCTTCCTGTTCTTATTTTTCTAGTCTCTTCATTTTCCATGAGGACAGATGAACTGGCAAAGCGGGGAGGTCTGTGACCACTGAGCCACAGGGCCGAGCACTGACTGAGCTGAGGAAGTGAGCCAGGCGAGGCCCGGGTCTAGCCCTCATCCTCCTTTGGGTTGCCTTCTTGGCTTTGCAGGAAGTAGCCAGCCGGCAGCTTCCCTTTTGGGACAAGGCACAAAGGCACCACAGGACCAGTAATGTGCTGGGCTGAGGGAGAAACCAGTGATACCCCCACCACAGTGCAGCAAGGCCCAGAAGCCTTGGCTGGAGTCTGTGGCACGGAGCAGATGGGTCTCAGCCAGGGCCAAGAAACCAATGACATTAGAAGAGGTGGCTCCATCCTCACAGGAGACCACTTGCTGTCCCATGCTGTTTCGCTAGCCTGGAATTCTCCAGCTCTGTGGGGAAGTTATGAGAAGAGGAACTGGGAGCCAGAAGGACACAAACACCTCATCTTCCTTGTCTGGCAGCTCCACTCCTTTCTGTGGCCATCCGGAATCTCAGTGCTTCTCCACTCTCAGTGTTCTACTCTAGTCACACCTCCTTCCTGTCTCTAGGGGACGTGTTTGAAACCCTTGTCAATTGTTCTATGGCCTCTTGGCAGTTGCCCTCTACCTCTTGGAAAAGATATAAACTGGCACCTAGGTCCATCCCCCTACTATTACCCCAGCCACACTCAGGCACCCAACTTCCTATGACCAGAAATCAGGCAAGAATCACAAAGAACCAAAACCACCCTTGAAAACCCCTAATTCAAGTCAAACATGGTGGCACATGCCTGTAGTCTCAGCATTTGTGATGCTGAGGCAGAAAAAATGGAAGTTCAAGGCTTGCAATCACGTGGTGCACATGTTAACTGACCCTTAATTATCGCTTACACATCTACTTCCACTAGGCCATGGCTCTGGAACATACTCCAACACGGAACTCAGCACACAGCAGGGAGGGAGCAGACGATAAAATACTAGCACAGGTTGCAAACGGGGCTGTGGTGTTCATTTGTCCTTACTTGCCATTCGTCCTTGGCACAGGTGACCCCTCTTTAGCTTGTAGCTTGAACTCCCTGAACCATCCAGGCCATAGAATGCGGCATTTGAAGCAAGTAGTTTACTCCTGGTTGGCAGAGTTATGTCTGACACACTTTGAGAATGCGAAGCACAAGCTACTGTGTATCAACACCAGCCAGGTGGCCAATGGTCCTGTCTGCAGTGCAGATAAAAATTGCGATTGTTCCTATCTTTATCACTCAGAAGTACAATATAAGAAAGTAAAAACAATCAGCGCTATGTTTAGCCCTTGTGCTTCCCCGCTTCACGCAGGGAACAGAAAGCAATTTGTTGGGTCAGGTCACCAGACAAAAGCAACAGGAATAGAAGCTAATTTTTAGTGGCAAACTGCCCCACGAGTTAGGGCCCGACGTCACACTGCACAAAGGCCTTGGAAGGGCTCTGGGAAGAGGATACCAGGAGCCCCCACCCCGCCATTCAATATCACTTCTGCACAAACAACTATAACTCTTCCAAAAGTGACAAAGGCCATGGCCCTAGGGAGTCCATGAGCCCGGTCACTTGACGTGGTAGAAAGGGCGTGTCCCTGGGTTCCAATTCAGCTCTGCAGGCTCCTTATTCTCTCAGAACTGCTGAGAGAAGAAAACAGTGGAGCAGTGGAGGGCTTGCAGCAGGCTCTCAGAAATTCTAACCATCACCATGATAAGTGCAATGTGGCAGTACTGGAAATATGCCTGCTTTTGAGGTTTGGTCTTCAGCACTGGGTACCACTCTTGTACACTCAGGCTAGAAAGGAGATCCATACTTGCTGCACTAGGATTTACCAAAGTGAGATTTCTGGACTATCTGCAGGACCACCGGGGAGAGGGTACTCAAAAGCCGAGTCCTTGGCCCTGTCTGTGGCCCTGACTCTGACCTCGTAAATAGTAAGAACTTCTCGGGAGCAGGAATCAGCATTTTAATCATCACTCCAGGTCCCAAAGGGGCCGAGCATCACTGCTGTGGGCCACAGGCTGTACAGGACCTGTCAGAATAACAGGTTTGCCCAGAATGCCCAGCCACATTGAGAAGCTTCTGGTGAGACAACGATTCTGGTCTCTACAGATATGAATATAAAACATCACTGAGAATTGGCTGTGGAGGCTAAGGAAACTGTTGTGCTTTGACATTAGCCAATCATAAGTAGCAGACAGGAACTGGGC